ACACGTGTGCACACACACACCTACACACACAATTACTTAATATCTTCTCTTTAAGCATAAAATCTAGTCACATTTACAATTTCCTGTGTGATTATATTTCCTGGCCTATCTATTAAAATTACCATGCACTGTATTCAAGATTCCCTTTCATTCCCTTCCATATAGGCCTAACAGCATTGCTCTTAGGGAGAACTGGGGCACTAATGTGACTAGCTATCTGATGATTGGTGATGTTGTAGGTATTTTTTCCACAGGAGGGTTTAATGATACTGACGTAATAACCCATCCTTAGCCTCTACAGTCTAACCAGTCATTTGTTTGACCGCTGACACATCACACAATCTTTCAGCTCCTCTCAAGCAAAAGCTACCATAACTAACAGCGGTAGACAGACTATTATAAAATCATATGTTTCTACAAGACATTACCCATTGTACATATAGTGGAATGAACAGTCTTACAAAAAAGGAATATAAATCAAGAAATGAAGTACAAGACATATTTAAGATCATTGTTATCGAGAGACTATGAGATAAGTGGATATTTATTAAAGATGAGTAAGCCACAATTATTCTTGATTGCAAATGAGGCATAAGTTTAACAATATAATAATTCGTCAATACTAGTTTCTCAAAATTCAAGGTGAATGTATGAATTGATTATATGTTACCGTGAAATAACTTTTCTGATTTATTTTATATTATTTTCTCTGTAAGGGTTCTATTTGGTGATTACGTGGCACTGCACTATAAAATGTGTTCATTTTTTTCATTTTCTCCTAATACTGTCCGACATAGGGTCCATGGGTCAAAAATTTCTTCTAATTATGGATAGCAACCTGAAGAGTTACTTTAATGAGATCAAATACATAGCTGATACTATATTAATGTACAAAAATAAAGTCATCCGCAAATAAGAGAATAGTAAATAGCCTAATGTAGTACATTCCAAAAGCATGTGTCATTTTTCCATACTTTACAGTTAATTGCTTTGGAATTGTTTCTTAAGTATTGCAGCTAGTTTAGCTAGATTACAACATCTGGCTGAATAAATGTACTTCCAATTTGTTACTGCCATAATCTGACATGTTTTTAATAGGGCAGAGCTGGCAATGGGCAGTTACAGAACCTTTTCCCTTGGGAAATCTACTTGAGTTTTTTTTTCTTTATAATCATTCCAATTGAGAGTGGACTCCTCTAAAAAAAGCTCTCTCATCTGATGATAAGGCTTTTGTTTGGTCTTCTCAATAGCTTAATAAGCCTTTTGTATTTTCACAGAATCTCGGCCTTAATTCAGAAATATCTTTGCTTTAATCCACAAGAGAGGGCCTGAGGGTGCAGTATTATTAGACAGCTTGACTAATAAATAGTGTATTTTACACTCCACTCACCTTTAATTTGAATGAATGAAATGGAAGTTATCTCTGGTTAAAAACGATGAGATACTTGCTTTCTTTGGCCTTTATCAGGGAAGAAACAGCCTAACATGTTCTCCTTTTAATTCTGACAATAATTTTTGTTTCTGTGTCTTTCCAAGACAATAAGCTCCTCAGGGATCCTTCTTTTATCTTTAGATTTTACTGGAATATCAATTGCTAGCTAATAACCATATCCCTTCTTACAAGAAACACTGCATCATGAGAAGCTTAGAAAGGTTCTTATGCCAGGGAAGGATCACTTTGTACATGTCTGATTATTTCTTTACTCTCCATGATAATCCATTACCTTGCTGTTTCTGGAGAAGAAATGCTGGACTAAGTAGACTTCTTGCCTTAGTCTGAATAGAAATTCTTGTGCTAGTCCCTAGTCTTAATTATTACTGGAAACAAATGAACCTGATATGCTTCTGCAAAGTATTTGCACATTTTTTTTCTTATCATCTGAATTTGATTGAGTGGAATACAGCACTTTGTACTGTGAACTCATTTTCCACAGTGGATTTCAGGTGGGAACATGAAGTAGATTTTGAACGTGAGGAGGGGCTGGGACTGCTCTGTGCAGAATTCTTTACAGCTCTCTTTATCCTTTTCTTATACTAAAAGACTGGGTGGGGGGAAATGGAAATGAAAAATACAGCAGATTTAATGTTGATAAAATGAAGTAATACAGAGATATAATTTTAAAGAGGTGATAGAATGCAATAAAACATTTGATGAATTTATATATAATAGAATCAGTCAGACTTAAGCCTGGATAAAAACACACTGAAATCGTTACGGTTGCTACTAAATCAGCAAGGGTTTTCTGAGGTTATGAAGAAACTATCCTAACAGATAACTTATTTCCTAATTTTCCACTTTTCTCTGCTCTATGTTGCTCATCTACAAGACCAGATAAAGCAAAGAGCTCACGTAATTTAGCAATTTATAAAAATCAACTGTTTATAAAAAGGCAGCTGTTAATTCTCTTCTTTCTCAGTATTTTTCATATTACCTGACTGCCTGTTATTTAGAGAAGCAAAAGAAAGTCTTGCTTATTTTTTTTCTACTGAATTATAATTTAATATCTTTTCTTTGAAAAACAGACATATATATCTTCACTATATAAATGTATACACTAAAATTTTAACAAGCAATTGCAATATAATTTGATAATATTATTTACCAAATTTATTATTTGTTTACTAATTACTAATAATCCAATTATTTACTAATAATGGAAATCCCAAAATTAACCTCATATATAAATTTTACTTAGTTATTCAGCAGACTACTTTTACAGAATTATTCAGCAATGTACAAATGATTATACATTTGTGCTACTTTAATAAACACTATTCCCATACTAGATTGAAACTAAACTCAATGTGGTATAAAACAGGATGCCTTATAATGAAGCTGCTACTTAAAAATGGTATCCAAATAAATATAAATTATTTCTTTCTTAATGTGTTTCATTTTATTGAGTCTCCCCCTCCCAGATTCATTCACTGCTTTAATTTTCTAACTTCCTAACAGCAACTCACTACCAGACTTCTGAACAGGTTTTAGTTAACAAGAATATACTTTAAAGTCTTGGAACACTGATGATCATCAAGGCTTCATATAGAGATTGTGAAGACCACATCTACCTCATCTTCTTTTAGTACTCCTCAGGACTTGCTGATATCTAACTAGGAGAAAAAAAAGTTTAGAGGAACTTACATGTGACATCTGCTCACCACAGACATGAAACCGTATCATTCTGCTAATGTGGCTTTAGAAGCCACAGTTTATACTTAGTATTATACTGAGCTCATACTTAATATACTAAGTCTTGAAGAGCTACTTTTGGCAGAAAATGGATCCTTTTTAATATATTAAAAAGTGCAAGTTTGTATTTCATCAAGAAAGCATATTTTAAAGTCTAACTAATCTTTCTCAAAGTCTTGCATAGCCCTAAGTGTGGCTGTGGAAGAAAAGGCAATGTATGCAGGTGCTTTACATTTCTGGAATAACACCCCATTGTGCTAAAGTAACTGAGTCAGAGCAGTTCTACCATTGAGCTCTACCAGCAGATAAAATCTGACTGGACAAGGCCACAAAAGCAATTCTGGAGATATAGCTAGAGTTTTTTAGGGCCCCAGAGCCTATGAGTGAAACCAGTACTTTTAAGGTTTTGATTTCTGCTCAGAACAAAAGCATAGTGGAGGCTACATTTTTTTGTCTTAACATTTTCTCCTTCATTGCTATTTTTATGTTTATGAGAATAGTTTAGTTGTAGTTGTAAAAGTACAATTGATTGTAATTGCAAATGATTACAACTCAATAATAGAAAAATTCATATGATGAATTACCTTTTTTTAAAAATAAGAAAAGGTTTTTCATATGTTTAGGTTTTTATACACAAAACATTCAACTACTGATGTGTCGCTGCACTTCACTGCCATTTTGGGAATTAAGGCTTTAGAATTCTTTAAGACAACGGATTTACTGTAAGGTAGAAGGTAACGAAACTTTTATTTTAGATTATTACTCAGATTAGGTAATTTTTAATTGTACTACAAGTTTCAAGATGAAAAATATGAAAATCTATTTAAAAATTACACACTTGAAAATTACACACTTGATAGTTGAAAAGCAACTATCTGGTAGATTCTGTTTTTATACAACCCTAGTCACAGCACTCTTAAAATGATGTAAATTTAAGTGACTTATTGGTTGCCTCTCTACTTATAGTAGCACAGGAAAAGTGTTGCCTTTATATGTGGGCTAGCAAAATGCTCCCAGAACAGAGGGGACCTTTATTCTTATTCCTTCGCAATATAATGCTCATATTTACCATCACAGCAGGTTCAGTTTTGCTTATTTAATGCAAGAGCTTCAGGATTTTACAGCCTTTGTGGCCAATGCATCGTGCTGTTCCATACTCCCTGGTGTATCCCATAGATAGAAGAAAAGCACCCTGAATACCAGCTTAGACATGGTGAAGTTTTGCTGGGAAAATAATTTACTTGCAGCTGAGGGAGTACAAATGATATCATGTAAACAACTATCTGTATGGATCACCGATTCTCTACTGTGACAAATGCAATTCAGCTGATACATCGCAGAGTTGAAAAACAAATTTCTGAATGACAAATGCCCATGTACATCTGGTTTCTAACCCATCATTTAATGTTTCCACCTGTTTTTATATGTTAATTCTTGAAATTAATGTAATTCCTCTGTCAACCTTTCTATGTACAAATAGTGTTTAAATGAACAGCCGGTGTCTTTTTGTTGAGATTCTTATCATCACCACTGTCCTCCTGTGGCAAAAAAGAACATGAAAGAAATGACAAATGAAAACCGTGAGGTTTCATTTTGCCAAGCATCACTGTCTGCTGTTAAAGAAATTTATTCTATAGCATGCTGAAGAACATCACTTCCATATAAGCAATTCCCTTCTGACCCCATGCCTCTTTACAAACCCTCCTCCCCCAGAAACCACACGTGTTTCCTACCAACAGCTTTTAACACACATGCCCTCCATGTCTTTTAATAGGAAGTGGAAGCTGAGAGAAGTTCACATTCGCCAACATTTAGGAATCAGCCTCGGAGCAAGGCCAGCATTTCCCTGAGTGAGTCGCGTGTGAAAACTGGGAAGAGAGTCTTTGGCAAGATGTCATCAGCAAACAGCCAGAACAACAACTCTGAAGGTTAGCACTGAAATTAGATCTGATTTCTCATTTTCATAGTCTAAGATATCAAATAGTATATGCATATATGTTTGTTTTAACAGAGATGCAGCACTGGACATATAGTGTCTGTGTTTTTTTTTTTATATAACTATATGACACCAAAACGTGAATGCATACAAAATCTCTAATTATATTAATATAAAGTAATGTGTGCAAGGGAAGATCTCTGGCATTACTGCAAAACCAGCTCACTGCATGACTTTTTCTCTGTTATCCCCTCACATCAATGCTGGGAATGTCAGGTGACATTATGTGATAAACTGTGAATTAATTTCTCCACACACCAACTGAACAATGTGTTTGAACATCAAGGTGGTGGGGGGGAAACATGGTTACGAAGACTGAGCTGCCCTCAGTAAAAGTACTTGGCACACTCACTCTGGCAAGAGAAGCCTTCATTGTTTTCTTTTTTTGGACTATTGTCTTAAGCCTGTATAGCACTTTTTGATAAAATATGACATAATAGTATCCTATGTTTTGAGGATATGTTTTATATAATTCCTTAGTGTTGTAAATCTTAAATACTCCTGTTGTAAATACAAACATAAGAATAAATATAATAAGTATAAAAATATATACATCATTCTTCATTCATGAAAAGACAAATATACGATTTTCTATTTTGTTGTAAATAGCTTGGATTTGACAATGTTCTTTTAAAATAATAATTAAAGTCTAGTTTGGCTTTCTATGCAAAAAATTTCGCACATTTGCAGTAAAGATCACGAGTCACCTCTAATCAAAACTTAAGAAGAGAAATATTCAGTAGTGAAGGAATCAGTTGTCAGACACTAAGGGAGGAAATACCTATTTCAGTTACAACTATGCAGTGTTAGCTTAGCAACAGGAAAAGAATAAGGGCAGATGATAAGATAGGTCAGCTCGCAAATCTTAAAAGCCTTATATTCATAAACATCAAGGAGCTCAGCACAAATCTTGATTTAGATTTCTATGGTCCCCATCTCATTTTCCAATTGCATGCAGAATCATGATAGTTTTATATGACTTAGCCCAACACCTCTATCTCATTTCTTGTAGAACAGCAGCATTCTTTTAACTTGTAGATAGAAAATACCGTGTTGATTGCTAGAAAACTTTACCATTCCCATTAGTTCTTTTACTGACATAAGCATAACACTTATACAACACTGAATGATTTTGTAGCCTGAGGTGGTACTTTTGACTTAAGATTTAGATTTTCATCATTTTTTTTCCCTAGTTTCTGTTCCAAGTTTACTACAGATAAGTCAGAGGTTTTTGATCCTAGATCATTAAAAACATCTTGGCCAGAGTCATATGTGGCATTCTTTCTAAAAGAATGGATGTTTCCTTTAGCAGCACAGAGTTCTTGTTCTATACAAGGCATTTAGAAGGCAAGCTGATCTATCTGCTGAACATTACATTTATTACATGCCCTTGCCAATTTCATAATTTATTCTGTAATTTGATCCTAGTCTTGATCTGATTATCTGTAAACTTAATGCAATTTCATCACCATGGGAAATCAGAACCAGAGTGAAAAAAGTGTAATTATATTGTTTAAAAACTGATTGATAGTAGAATCTACTCTGCTCTCTTCAGAATTTTGTAATTCAGATGCAAGCATGTCCTTTGAGCCTTGAAACAGGCTGCCCAGAGAGGTTGTGGAGTCTCCTTCTTTGGAGATCTTCCAAACCCGCCTGGATGCCACCCTGTGCCACGTGCTCTGGGTGTCTCTGCTTAAGCACGGGGCTTGGACTAGATGAGCTCTAGAGGTCCCTTCCAGCCTCAACCATTCAGTGACTCTGAAATATGGCATTAGTGTCGATTTAAGATTGTATTGATACCTGCCTGGCTTAACTCATTGTCTGCAAAAGGAACTCCATCCACAATAAAATGTACTGAAATGCAAGTATTCTACAAAAGATATACAAATTGTTATTATATGAAAGTTCCCTCTTTTTCTTCCCATAAGGTTTAGAATATCCATGTCTATTCAGCAGTTCTATTCTATAATTGTGCTTAATTGTTAACTTAACATCCTGTATGGTACAAAGGAAATAACTATTATTTAATGTATTTATGGACTTGCAAAACATTTTCCAGTCTGACTGTTTAGTAAAATGAACAGAATGTTTAAGTCTTTCCATGTCAGAGTAAGGCTCTTAAATGAATCTATGTTCAGAATAGAAGGTTACTGTGATACTTATATTGCATCCAAAGAGAACGGAATCCTTTCAGAGCTACAAAGTGATTTTTTAAAATAATTGTGGTCTCACTGCTTCTCAAATCATTGCTGGTAGTTGCATATTCTAGAAATTTTGAATGAACTAAGTTTGCTCATCCAGCGCTCCTTCAAGAATGTGCAATCCTGAAGTAGGATTTATAGATGTATAGATGATATTGCCAGATCAATATAGTTTGGGCTAAGAAAAATTCTTTTGAAAATTCAGGGCAGGACAAGATAAGAAGTTAACTAGCTTTGTACACACTGCAGTATGTTTTGAAATCCAAGCTCTATTCACGGTATCATCCAAGCACAATAATTTCAGATTTGGTCCAGACAAACTTTAGAAAAGATACTGCTGTTCTGAAGCTTTTACCTAGATTTTTTTATTTTAAGATTAAAAATTGCTAAGGCAAAAATACATTACGGGTAATTACTTATGAAAAGGTATCATTAATATTTCAGTGTTGTGTTTGTTGAGCTTTGTTTCAAAGGAGTTGATTGTGGATGAAAAAAAAAACCTCAAATAGACGGTCACATATCTCAGAAACAGGATACAAGAAAGTTAGGTCCGTAATAGAGGGAAAGCTGGTGTAAAATTAAGTATAGTATACTTACGAGTTATATTGATGCTGTGCTATGAAGGCAGATTTTGAACAGTGGAAGAACCTGTCAATACATAGGTTAAGCATATAGTTTCTTCCTGTTTGTCAAAATTTCAGTGATTTGCTATATAATCTTAAACAAATCTCTCAATCTAACTCTCCTTCAGCTTCTTATTCAGTAAAATAGAAGCAATAATCCACATTCATACATATAGTAGAATTAGCAGTCTATCCATGTGTCTGCTTTTGAATGCTTAAACTCATTACTGGAGACTGTTAACACTGTAGTTAAATGTTGCCTTTAAACAATCACAATCAGCTCAGGAATGGAAGAACAGTCAAAAAAGAACATTATATCATTAATACTGCAGACAGATAGCAAAGAATAAAATGACCCTTACTAACCAGGCTGGATCTGTTTCTTCTACCTCAATGAAATAGCCAGCAATAAGATCAATTTTAGTTAACTCTCCTTAAGATATATACTATATATATTATATGACTTGAATAAAAATTTTATCTTGGTGAAATGAAGCAACATGAGGAAAGAAAATATGATACTTGTTTGAACCTAGTCCCAGACATCAACGTACTGTTATAGTCACTGAGTCAGAGCAGATTCCCAAACCGCATTTGGAGCCTGCTTGGAATTTCAGGCTGAGAGAAGTTTACTATTCTGAGAAATATGCATGAAAGGGCTACTCATTACGTTTATCACAAGGCAAGTCATAAATCTACATCTTGCAATACCATATAAGGCTCCAATGCATTTTTATGGTTACCAGTTGGTGATCTCATTTGACTTCAGTTAAACTGTAATGCAGAATTTAAGTAAAATTATCATGAGATAATATTACAGATGAAAGACAACCTGAAAGAATACTATTTCTCTAGTCTTTTCGACTGAATTGGATATTTAAATCCTATACCTAATCACAAGTGAGTAACAGCATGTCAGGTACATTTCATGAATTTAGAGTTCATCTCATAGAAGATGAAAACAGTTATGTGCTGTCAAAATGGAAAAAATAATTTTCATTTTTAATGAATCACAAGAAACTGATTTTTTGCTTTTACTGTCATCTGTAACTACGAAAAAGGTGCATATATATAAAGAAAAAAAAAAAAAAAAGGCTTTCAACCAGAGTCCAAACTGCAGACCTTTACGTTTCTTTGGTCCTGCGCTGCTATACTACATCCAGGAGTTTCTATAAATCCAGAAATTACAATAGAAAAAAATTAATTCTAAAATCAAGAGACAAAATCCTGGGCCAAGTGCGGCTCATAGCAGACCTCTCATTGACTTCTAGGAGAGTTACAATTTGACTCACTCTCAGTATGTAAAACAGTACATAGCCCTGTGTAATAGCATAAAGATTTATTTATTTTCCCCCAAGGAAATTAATAATCCATCCATAGTATCAACTTATTACTGCCTCTACTCTCTTTTTGATCAGAAAATGTTCCAAATGCATGCATAGCAATTCTGAAATCTAACAGATGAAAGGGAAGAGTAAATTTCAGTGCACTTCATAGCTAACACTGTCATTACCTGCTTTATATATAAATTACAGTGACAGTCAAATATCTCTGCCATGGTCTTTTAAAGGAGGAGTGACAGTTTCTCTGTTTATCAGTACTGAATCACTTACCACTTAATATCACAACTGTAAACATAGGTCTAGTTGGAAAATATAACTCTGCACATATGAGATCTAAAAGTGCTACATCTATTTATTTCCAGTAGCTTACAAAAAAGGACTAGCTTTTTTCTTCAAACATTAGATTTTCCACCTCAGCTCTATTAATACTAGGAGTGTGTCTTACTTTGGACATTACTACCTGTTTTGGTGGGTTTTTTTACCACCATAATTGTTTTTTCACACACCTACAGCTAGCAAGAAATCTGTATATGTAAGTTTTGGTTGACATCTACACAAAGAAAAATAAGCCAGTGGGTCTGACAAAATTGAAAAGCTTTTTGTGACTAAAGGCAACAGATGAGATTATGAAGTAAGAAGAAGACTATTTTTAAGCAATTTTCATGTTTTGGATCCAGGGATTTCATGATGCAGGGAGAAAGAGGCCAGAGCAAAAACGGCCCTTCTCAGCAAGTGGGAAGCAAATTTCTACACAAGCCTTAGGGC